GAATGGTGACGTGGATGGGAGGCTTTCTTGGGTACCTCTTGCAAATGAGGAAGAAGAAGATTCGAGTCACAAAGAAGAAGCTTATGACAACCGCCAAGAGGAAGCAAACATGAAGTTTAGTTTTTTTGTGGTAGAAGAAAATCCGAGATTTAGTTTTTTTTTGGGGGGTTGTTAAAGGAGACACTCTATACAGGGGAGATGAATTTGTACAATGGCAAAGAGACAGATCTAGTTTTTTTTTTTTTTGGGTGGGGGGGTTTTAAAGGAGACACTCTATACAGGGGAGATGAATTTGTACAATGGCAAAGAGATCGATGATGAATGCTATGGTGATAAGGAGGCTTCTTGGCACTTCTTGCAAAAGTGGAAGAAGATCCGAGTCACCAAGAAGAAGGTTGTGATGACTACCAAGACTAAGCGACATTGAAGGTATGTCTTTTTGTGGTAGCCTGGTTTTTTTTGTTATTCTCCTTAACTGTTTCACTACTTTTTTTTATCTATGGAATGTTGCTTATTTGAAGATTAAAACGTTATTGTTTTAATTTCTTTTAGTTCACCCATTAATATATTTAGGTCTTTTACTGTTTGTTTGAAATGTCAGTAAAACACCTGTGAAGTTCTCTCATTTTTTTGTTTTGTGATTTATGTCCAGGTGAATTAGTTCTTATTTTTTCCTTTTGCTCTGGTTTCTTTAGTTTGTTTCTATTCTTAAGTTTAAAGATTTCTCTTATTGCTTAAATCTAAAGGTGGTTATTCTTATTTGGTTGTTATTATTGTTTTTTTTTCCTTTGGTTCATACATCTTCTTTATGATTTGGTTTCTTCTCTTAGATTTTGAGGTTTGCATGTTTTGCGAAGTGGGTTGGGTTCATTTGTGTTGGCTTTGGTTTTCGGTTAATAGGATCTTAAGTATCATATTGTGCTAGGTATGACGGGATTTCTTCTTTCTTTTTTCTCTATTGGACTTTCAAAGAGTGTGAGACTTTTGCCCTAAGGCAAAAATCGGTTGATTTTTATAGGGTAAATTACCAATTCAGTCCCGGAATTATGAATTATGTTGTAATTAATTTCAAAATATTTTTTTGCTACAATTTGATTCTTTAACTTACAACATTATCGATGATTCTTTGCTGAATTTTATTTACATAAATAGCACATGTTTTCATGTCCTTGTTGGCATAGATAATGACTTAAAAAATTTAAAGTTTTTGTTTAGGCTAGGAATTAAAAAATATAAAGTTTGTTGCGGGTCTCTTCTGTTTGTTATTGTTGTCTTGTATGACTTAAAAGAATAAAATTTATTTTTATTAGAAGGTTATAAGGTTAATGGTAAGTTATTTTTGTTATAAATTTTAAACCCAATAGGAGACAAAATATGGTAAAATAGAAAGAGTTTTGTCAAAAACTTTCACAGTTATATAAAAATTTACCAATTGAAAGAGCTTTAAGGACTAAACTGTGATTAAAAGCAACAAAAGTTTTAGAATCAAATTGTAACGTAGCAAATAGTTAAGAATTAAAATGGTAATTTACCTATAGTCATGTATAGGTAAAAGTCATTGATGACGAGAAAGATAGCTTGCTGGTGACTTTTATTTAGGATTTTGATGGAGGACACTTTTATAGCTATACAATCAGTAGCATGGGTGCATGAATTTAGCGTAGTTTAAGGTAGAAAGAAAAAGACTAGAAGGGGCAGAGAAGAAAGAGAAAAAGTGAGGAAAAAGAGAGAAAAAAGAGGGAGAAAGAAAAAGAAAATGGTTGAAGAAAAGAAGAGAAATCAAAATTTTGAGATGAAGTGCATGAAATTTTGTCTGCTTGTTATATGATCTTCATTACATCAAATGGCTGTATATAGGCAAAAAAAGAGAGTGTGGAGAGCCAATAATGATCGAAGGTGGGGATTGCAGATTGGAGGTTGGCCTGAGATGCGGCTGTGCAGAAGTATGAGATTGAGAGAGCCAGCAGCTGGGAGAATATGTAGCAGCGAGTGGCACGCTGGAGTTTTGTGGTGGGGCTTCAGGGAGTTAAGACTAAGGTCTTTTGGGGTCAGTTATACGGGCGGTCCTCTCACTTCCTGAAAGTGTCATATGGGTTTGGGGTTGTTTAGTTGTAATATTTTGGGTATTTGATGAAGGAACTCTTAGCTCTGATCCTAACTAATTTTTTTTTTAAAAATAAAAAGTGTGAAGTATATTAATTAAAAGCACCAAGGGGATGCTGTCCATATACAAGAAATTTACAAGTGGGTCAGTATATCTACAATGACCCTTAGATCCTCAATGCTATAAAGGTCATGTCCTAACACCATGGAACCAAAATAATGTAACCATTTATTTCTAAATTTGTTAAGAAGTTCTTCCTTCCCGTCAAAACCCTATTGTTTCTCTCTTTTCAAACCACCCAAATTATGGTCAAAGGTATAAGATGGTATAAACCCTTATCCTTACAAACCCCTTCCCAGGCTAACAATTCATTCCTCACCGTACCAGCCATGACTCAAATGATGCCTAGAAGGCCGTAGGCTAAACACCAGAGGCTGTAAGTTAACAGACACCATAAAAGAATGTGATTGTTGGTCTCAGCATCACATTTTCACGAAGAGTATCTGTTGACGAAAACCATCTCCCTTTTCATTAAGTTGTCAATTGTCAAAATACGCTCTTTGACATCTTCCCGAGCAAAAAAAGAGACATAAGGCGGCGCTTTTGTTTTTCATACCATTCTGGTCGAGAAAATGGGTGCGTCATTCACCTTGTGCCCTGCCAAATGCTTGTAGTAAGAATTGACAGAGAACAAACCATTTTTCTTCAACTCCCAGATTAACTTGTCAGCATTATTGTTAAGGGTAACGTTTGCAAGAAACTGTAAAAGGCTTTCGTACTCATTTAGTTCCCAGTCCTGCAGGTGTCTTGACATATCCACAGACCACACACTACTGTTGTAAACCTCTGTAACAAGCATATCCTTTTTTTGGGCAATGTTGAATATCGTAGGAAATCTGGATATTAAGCTTTCATTCCCGCACCATTTATCCTGCGAGAAACGAATTTTATTGCTTCTGCCAATTTTCCACTTCATTCAGTCCAGGCCATTAGACTGCTGTTGGATAATACTTTCCTATGTAGCTCTGATCCTAACTAATGTAGGACAAGTTAGGTTAATTTTCCTATTTAGGAATTCAAAGGTAAAAATCTAGACATCACTCCTAGGATTTTTAAACATTACGTTTAAGAAGTCTTAATCATTATATTTAAAGCTTTGGTTGTATCACAAAATCAGAAAATTGAGAAACTTTCAAAGTATTTTGTTGAATAAATAAAATCATTCTTAAAATTCAAATTATAAAGATGTTTATAATATTTTATAGATAACATTTCCTAAATAGGATTATGTTAAGTAATACTAATACTATAGGGTTAGGAAATAATGATACTAATATAAATAGGAAAACTAAATTCTAAAAAGAATAAAATCTTAAAATTACTATAAAAATTAATATGCTCCTAATTTTTTCAAGTACTCATAAATGGTACAATAGATTTATATTTAAAGAGAATAACAATTTCAATTTGTTTGAGAATGTAGACTTAACCCATTCTGTAAATGGTACAATAGATTTATATTTAAAGAGAATAACAATTTCAATTTGTTTGAGAATGTAGACTTAACCCATTCTGCTATAATCAACTCCCGTGAAAACTGGTGACATTAATTTTGACTTTCTTGGTGATATCGAAGGGATCATCTCAATTATTTTATAGTGATAGGGGAGATCGTTTACCTTCCAGCCTTTTTTTTTAAAAAATAAAAAGTGTAGATAATATATTAACATGGTACCAAACAACCAGGAGAACTGCACAAAAGCTTTACAATGTAGTTAGTGAGTCAATGATATGCCCAAAATCCACATCAGTAATCATGTCACATCACTAATCATCTACCTTCCAGCCTTGATATCTACCTAGAGGAGTAGCATGATTTCTACCCAGAGATGTAGGTACTCTACCATCTTGTCTGACTAGTGGTTCATGGATTAAAGTTTCTTTTCTAGATGGAGGTCTTGGATTTCAAGGGATGACTAAGAGATCATCCTCAAGTTGATCCTCATCATAGAAGCGATTGAAATCTAAATTCAGAGACAGACTTACAGTAGGGGGAAATTCTGCAGGTTGTTTACGATCTTCACTAGCCTCAGAAAATGTATTAAATGGGTAGTGGATCTTAACTGGTCCTGTAGAATAAGAATAGGTTGCCAAATAGAGGAATCTCCTATTGCTATAGAGTGGGTTCTGTAACAGAGGAATGTTCCATTACCATAGGTTGTTTGCAATAAATTTCTTGGAGTCAGCAAATTGCTTAGATACTTGAATTTAACAAATTGCTCAGATAGTTGTTACACAGTTCTCTTAGAATTAGTCAAATTAGTGCAAAGGACAAGTCTTCTGTTTGAGAAGATTTGGAGGACTGTGGTTTGAGTCTGTAGTTTAAGCAAGGTAATAAAAAAGTAGATGATTGCTGAAAGAAGCTAAGTTGCTTTAAGAATCACAAGCTTTATTTGTTCCAAGACATAACAGATAGGACTTGCAAAGATAACGTGCTGGATGCATGCACAAAAAATTATGACATGTAAGATAGAGCATGCAAATGATGTGGTAATAAAATATGGTTAAGCTGATGCAAATAGTAGAATGTGAGCCTGTGGGTATAAATACTCAAAAGTTTTCCTTAAAAAAAATTCAAAGAAAAAGCTTAAAGGATTTTTGGTTTGTTTTTTTAATTTTATTTTGTTTGGTTCTGTTCTGAGGCAGCAAGTTATTGAGGACCTTTTGGAAATGACAAATACCATTTTTTGAAAAAATCAATCAAGTTATTAAGGCAAAGACTTACTTCGAAGAAGCACAAATAGAGAAGTGTTTTGTTGAGGCTTTTGAATTATTGTCTTGGCTTACAACTTAAATTAGTGGCTCAGTTTGGATCCAACAACCTTTTTATGGTTTTTCTTATACTCCCACCTAGCAAAAAGAGTGGGATCTTTTGAAGGAATACAGTATAAGCTGATTTGGAAAGTCAAAACCTTGCCCAATGTGGATTCTTTTGCATGGGAAGCAATGCATCTTAACCTGGATAATTTGACTAGTAGGGGTAACTTCTTGGTTAATAGTTGTTTGTGTGAGCGATGCTGAATTATGCAACCATATCCTTTTATTGTGCCTTTCTATTTATATGCTGTGGTTTATGGCTTATGATTTTTTGGGTGTTAGTTGGGTAATGGCAGGGTGAGTGAAAGACAAGATCTGAGCTTGGGTGGAATGCTGAAGGATAAGTGTTCAAAGCTTATCCCATTGGCTACATTTTGGGTTATATGGAAAGAAAATGATAGGAGAATACTTGAGGGTGTTGAGACGAGTTTTTATATGCTTAAAGATTCATGGTTTCAGATCCTAAGTTTTTCGTATGGGTCATCATCTATATATATATATATATATTTAAAAAAATAAAAAGTATAAGTTATAAAAAAGAAATACTTTAAGATCTGGCTCTAGGTCAGAAGATATAAGTGATCTTTTTTTTAAATAAAAAGTATAAGTTATCATTAATTATAAAGAACACAAGATATAAGTGGGTCGTAGGTAAAGAGAAAATATACGGACGTAGGTAGAGAGAACTTGAATGGATGTAGGCTGCTCTTCTTCATACGACCGACCTTATTCTCTCTTTCCTCCGAGCAGGCTCTAGGGCGGAGGAAGTTATGGCAATTTAAAGATTCCATTGAGAAGAAAGACACAATATTAATGGCCATGAGTTCATTAAAACAGGAGTCGCAACAGATTTATTCATTGAGAAAAAATCTTGTAAGTAACTCGGTGCATTTTTTGACTTGCTTTTGCTTGTCATTTAGGTGTATAGTTTCATATTCTATTTAATGCGTAATGCTTAATTGATCAAATTTCTATAGTTACTGATTTCACTACAATTTATATGGTTGATGAGGGCTTACATGGGTTGTCATGTTTAACTCCTGTTGGTTCATCTCACTGTTTTTATGTGAACCTACTAATTGTATTTATTGCTACTAGATTATTAATGTATCATTTGGAATAATGGAAAGAGCTGAAATATAGAGAGAATAGAAAGAGAGATATTTTACTGCTATCCCTAATAATGCAAGTTGCATCTCTAATCTTCACCACTCCTAGTTTCTATAGATTGGAGGTCTTAGTTCCCTAACTAATGCAATTTGTTTAGCAACTGGTTAGAGACAATGATTACGATATTGTTTTAAAGTTTGAAAACATTTTCTTGCCTATGCAGTAACCCAATAGGTTATTGTCTCTACCTTTTTTATTTATAATGAAATTTAAGACAAATAGAAGTTCTGTTTCTACTCTTAAGGGAGTTTCAAAAAGATTTTAACCGTTTTTTGGGAATAAATTAATAATGTGAATAACAGATTCCATTTCTCTTTTGGTTATGTTTCTTTGGACACCCAAATCAGAAAATTGAATGCTGGATAACTGTTGACAACTCAGGGCAGTCATTTGTGTTCAGCCCTGCATCTCTTCCTCAATGCCTCCAGCCACGATAAATTCCATCAAGCTTTCCTTTTACATGTGAATTATTAGGGGATAAAATACTGATGAGATACATGTTTATTGACTCTGCATGAGTAAGTATGATAGGTAGGAAGCAAACTTAATTGGTTATTGCCCTTCTCTGAAAAGCCATTAAGGCTCTCTAGGTTTGGTGATGTTAGGTATCCATCTGTAAAGAACTATTGATGATCTCTCTGGATTTTATGTGAATACCACAATGAAGAAAATGGAGTCTTCGGATTTCCTTGCATTATAACGAATACCTTAACATTCTACACTGGCCGGTGGTGTACCCTACTGGACTATACCAGTGCAGTGCAGACACAAATTTCATATTAGCTCAGTATTGGTTAATTCTGTTTAATATCGGGCACTTTGGGTGTTGTGATGGAAATACTGGTATCAGCTGGTACCAACTGTAATATTTCATATAAGAATCAAATGTCCTCCGATTTTGATGTAATATTTAAAATACTTGTATATTCGTGTTTTGGTGTAATATTCCTATTTTTATTATGAATCATAAGTTCTACTTATTTCACATATTTGCACATGAAATCTTTAGATATGATTTTCTTTACAAACGTTTTGCTTGTATTAAGATTGCTTATATTAAGATCGATTATTAAGTTAAATGGTTTTTTTTTAATCTTTTTCTCTATAGATATATGATTATTATTATCATTGTGTGTGTGTGTGTATATATATATATATATATACAATCATGCATATGTATAAGTTTATGTATTTAAATTATGAAATAAGCAATACACAATACATTCTTAGAAACAATTTTCTCATGGCCTTACCCTTGTGTTATGCCTGAATATCACAGTTCTAAAATTTCATTAAGGATACAGAATTTGGTATTATGTAGGTGTAGTATTATTTGACAATGACTGATTTATAATATTTGATTAAGTGAGATTAATAATTAAGTTACTAGTGTAATGAAAGAATTACATTGATCAAGTTGGATTTAGTTTATTTCGGGACAGTTAGAGATTTTTTTAGTGGAGCAACTACTACCTTACCCCTTACACAGAAATAGCAGAATCAGTCTTAGAATTTTGAATAGAGGTTATATGGTAGAATTTTTACCGGATTAGAATTTACTCACTTTTTGATCTAACACTCTTATATTTGCACACAGATTCTTGGGTTAAGCTTGGTATTAATATGTGCATTTCATAAATGTCTTTTATTAATTTTGCAGGAGTTGCTTTTCCTCAGGTATTCATCATACGTTGAGTCTGGTTCTTCTAATTCATTTGGTATGTTTTTTAAGGAGCTTTTAATGGGAAAACTAAAAGCTTCATATTGTTATTTCTTTTGTGACCAAAATAATGAAAACAAGATATTACACTTTGATAACTTTGTTCTTTATTAAGATTTTAGCTTAAGGTTTGAAAGCATTAGAAGCTTAAAATTCATTGGAGCTAAAAGTCCTATTTTTAGAACAAATTAAAGAATTGTTGAATTTATTCACAAATTTATACTTTTGACTGTGTGCTTGTTATGGACACTTCAATACAGAAATTTGGAGGTTAATTCTTACCGCGGTCAGTTTCATTTTCTCCTTAGCTTTCTCGTTTATTTTTAAGTTTATGAAGTTCTTTTTTCACTACGAATTATTTGTTTATCTAGAGTTACAGATTTGCTACGAATTAAACGAGAACTGATCAAACATAACATTGATCTTTCTTTCTTGTGATTCACCATGCAAGGTTTATAGTTCTTAAGAAATATTTGATTCACTGTATAATGTATAAAAACGACAGATCTATTACATATTTTGTAACTTTCTCCAGCTGGATTAAAGATTATTTTGTTATTCTGATTACTTGAGAGTGTGGTTTTGATTCATCGTGATGTATAAATTGATACTGTAGTCTTGTTTGTAATTTTCCATTATGTGCTGTTTTTATTTTCGTACTGCTAGCAGTAATAACATGTGATAAGTATTCTATGACTTTTCCATATATTAGAAACAATATGTTCATATGCATTTATAGGGATCTTGGGGATCTTTAGACTAAGAAAAGGAAAATCTTTGTATATGAAACTGACCTATATACAAGAACTATACTGAGGAAATATTTTCTAATTTGTAAGAGGGTATCCCTTTTTTAATGATTTATTGTATACATCTTGTAGATATTTATACTACACTACATATATATATATATAGTAACTGTTAATGGATATTTCTTTTTAAGTTTCAGAGATGAACTTCATTGTTATATAGGGAGTTTAGATATGTAGTTAGGTGTCAATCATTATTTATATGTTAGATACAACATTGAGATATACATGACTTTGATTCTTGGATCGATCATGGTGGTTCTTGATCCAACCCTGATTGAATTCCGAATCCAATGTTAGAACTTGATTCCAAAATGGATCTCGAAATTGTGTCTGGTTGATTTTTTGAAATTAATTAATTAAAGGGTTAATTAAGTTAATTGGGTTTTAAAGCTTAATGGAGGATGTAATTAATCAGTTTTTGTTATTTCGTAAAAATATTTTTCATAATCAAATTTCAAATAACTTCCATAAAACAACATTCTTCCATTCCACGTTGAACACAACTTTCTCGATTTCTTCTTGAAGTGGGAATGATTGGTCGCGATGAGATCGGAGGGCTGAGGTTGAGCCACGTAGTTTGAAAGACAGGTGTCGGAGGACACACGTGGCAGACAGGAGTTTGATGGGGGGGCCACACTCGGGTGTGAAAAAAAGTAGGAAGAATGAGACCCCATAAATTCAGAAACTTTCCACTTTAGACCTCCCTCGATGGGGACAGATTCGAAATTTGGAAGATTTACAGCAGTACGTCTGTAGGACCCACAAAGATTTTATTTCAATGGGTCCCACCCCTCCCAAGATTTTCAATGTTTTTATATGTATATATATATATATACACAGAGAGAGAGAGAGAGAGAGATATATATATATATGTATATATAGATAATATAAAATATGTACGAGTCGTGTTTTTCATATTTTTTTTTTTATATCGGTGCTGTAGTGGGCCCCGCTTGATTTATTTCATGTCTCCTCCCTGTGATGACCGCAGATTGATTTCCTCTTCCCCTCCCCACCCACAGTCCACCTTCTTTTCAAACGCTCAAAACTTCTCATTATGTTACTGCTTCTGTTTAATTTTCTCTGTCTTTCTTATGAACAGTTAGCACTTACCCCTTTGTTTATTCTTGAAAATAGAGAAATATATGTATTATATATATATACATACATCGGTTGTAGTTTTGAGTTTTTTAATGGAAGAGTATTATATTTTGGTGTAATTTTGTTTTTTTTTTTATCAGTTTAGGCTGAAATTAGGGTTGGTTGCATGCATGCTCTTCATATTACATTACATATATAAAAATATATGTGTATATA